CCCTAGAAAAAAATCGGTGCTCAGAGGAACACATTTTGAGTTAATTGAGGACATCCAGGCGCCAGGCGGCGGTGACGAGGGTACTTGTGGACATCCCAGTCGAAGCGTTCCAGAAATGTTACGGAGCATGGAAAACGCGCTGGAATCGTTGCATAACTGTCCAAGGGGACTACTTTAAAGGGGATGGCAGAATTGCAGAATAATTTTGAATCATACGGGTTTTTATGGAATCAGTCTCATTACTTAATTGGCTCACCTCGTATCCATATCTATGTATTTCGATTATTTATTGCCGTCACTGACAACCGTTAGCTGAGCAAACCTAATGTTTGGTTGTTCATATGTATGTACTACACGTATATACTCGTATATATGTATGTGTGCATATTACAGCTGAGTATAAAAAGTGACTTAAGCACGTTGCCCAAATTGTTGCAAATTTCACGTAATACATTTATAAAAATATATTTTTTTACATTATTTATTCACAGTGGAAGTGTCGTCTTCATGTATGGTTAACGGCAAATTAGGTAATTCTTAAGTAGCAGACAAATAAAATGCGAACATTAGCATTTTTTTCGAAGAAGTCAAGGTAAATTAAAAAAAAAACAACAACAACATACATTTATTTTGAAATTAATTTGAGTTGTAATTTAAGATTAGTTGTCAGAGCAAATGTATTTATGTATGTATGTATGTATGTATGTATATACTGAGTAGAGACCGTTATTTCATTTAGCTTAAAATTTCTTCCCCAAAATTGCACAATGGTCTACCAAAGTACTCGTAACCACCTTTTGTAGCCAAAGCTAATAACTCGCAAAATAGAAAATATTTTTCGATGAGGGTTTTCCTCAACATATGTACTTACATATATAGGATTATTGGGTGGCTACAAAAGTACAGCATATTTTTACTTCTGGCAAACTTAACTATCAAACTAAAGAGGGAATAATTAAAGAAATTTACATATTTGGGATTCCAAGAGTTCTCAAGCAATTTAAGTGACGCCAATACACCCAAAAAAAACATACTGTTTGATGCGCTCTTTGGTCGGAAGATGTGATTGGACCTTTCATGTTTGAAAACGACAACGGCGAATCTATCACTGTAAACTCGAAGCGTGATGCTCGTAAGATAACCGCTTATTTTTTGTCCTGCCACTGAAGAACACGACTTGCGACAATATGTGGTTTCAACCAGATGATGCCACAAGCCATAAAACACAAGCGAATATGGTTTTATTTCGAGAGAAGTTTCCCAGCTGCGTAATCTCTCGCCTTTGTGATGTGAATTGGCCACTGAGATCGCGCCATTTGACACTGTTGGACTTTTTTTTTTGTAGGGCTATGCGAAAGACCATGTTTATGCAGATAAGCCGTTCAGTCTTGAGCATATGAAAATCAACAATCGGCAAGGAATGGCAGAAAGTGGTGTAAAATTACCAAAAACGAGTCGAAGTTTACAAAAATTCTCGAGACGATCATTTGAACGATGTAGTGCTTTACACATAACGCCAAGGTTCAAATTTTATAATAAACAAGGAATTTCAAGAAAAAAAAATATTTTAAAAACATTTAATTTACGTTTATTGACGAAAGCTCAAAATAGATGACGCTGTGTCTTGTAGAAAAGTTGGATTTTGGTCACACAAAGTGGCCTCTTGAGCTATTGGGAAGATTTGTCTCACAGAAAAAATTTATTTAGCCTAATGATTTCTTAACGCTAGGGCGTAATATGTCATGAAAAAATGGATAATATATAATATATGTATGTACGTACATATGCTGAGCATTAAATAGGAAACCTATATTTAATAAAGGAATTAAAGCGAAAATTCTTACACATAGATATGTATGTACATATGTACACCTTTGTATGTATTCGGTCCATTACGGTTTTTTATTTATTATTTTTTATTTTTTCATATTATTTATATATATTTATAAGAAATTCCAAGCACAGCAAATTGCTGAGATATCAAAATTCATTCATAATTACAAACACTATCAGAGCAGGAGAAATAATAATAAAAAGTATTAAAAATAAAATAAATACAAAAAAAAATTATATTAAATGAATAAATCGAAAACACAGGCAGGCTGGGCAACGGCACTAATCAAGCGCTGAAAAGTGTCATATTCCAAGAACCATTGAAGCCATTTGATTGTCGCTGACAACAAAATAAAGAAAAAAAGAGAAGAAATAAAAATAAAAAAAAATAAAAAGAAAGAAATCTTAATGGCAATAAACAAGTGTAAGAGTCTCAGAACCGTGAATAAAATCTTGAAAGCTCAATGAATTTGAAAGCAGAGCTACATACATACATAAGTGTGAACAGAAAGGCGTATGTATGTAGATATATACTCGTATGTATATAGATATGCACAATTAAGTATACATATGTATGTATGCTCATAAACATGTATTAAATTTATTGATAGTGTAAAAATGTGAAATAAAACGTCTAGGGCCCTGCTAAGAATGACCAAAGCGGATGTCAGCAAGCTGCACTACTACACTCATATGTGTATGTAAATATGTACATATGTATGTTTCACCGAGCTCTAGCATTTACAATATTTTTCTAAATATGCATAAATTAAGTCTCAATACGTAATATGAACATAAAAAACTAAATTTAATCGATTGAACGACAGTTTAAGGTGCTGATGATATATGTACATACCTACCTACAATGTATGTAGGTGACAAACATATAAAAGCAAGCAAACAAATAAGCAAATGGTCAAGTCTGTCGGTCAGCCAGTCATTCATTCGCCATCGAAAGATTTTAAGGTTCAACTAAAGTCTAGACTCTAGACGTAATAAAAGAAAAGAAACGGTGAAAAAGTAGAACTCGCATTCATAGAGCGACCGACTGTCTTCCAAAAAAAAAAATAAAATGCGCTTAAAGACGGAAATTTCATTCACAAAATCACTTAAAATCTTAAATACAAACGAAAGGGTGAGAGAGTAAGAGAATGAGAGATAGAGAGTAAGAGCTAACAACATAAATTTCCCCTTCTTATTGTGTAGAATAGTAATTTTTTGCCTGGCTAAACAATTTTGAGCGCCGTGAGATTTAAATTTCATCAACCCAAAGAAAACAACCATATTTTTATTCTCTATCTCTACACTACACTCCACAAAACAAATGAACGGCATATATATTGTATATATATGGCCGAAAAATCAAAACCGACCAATCAAAATGCATCTCTAAAGCACCAACAGAGTACGGCAATATTTGTTGTTTTTGAGAGAGTGAGCGTAGGGTAAAATATAGTTGGTTTGAAGAGAGAACTGAGTAGAGAAATGATTTTTCAAAAATTGCAGAGAGAGCGGAGTAGAGAGTGGCTTGTTGTGGAAGTAAGAGTTGCATAAAATGAGAGCACTTGAGACTGCAACTAGATATGTATGCTGAGACTTTTAGTAGCGCGTTAAAAAGCGTTATTACAGTTAGCATAAATGCAATTCAAATGCAAATATTAGGTGAAGAGGGAACTTTATTTGTAGATATTGAACATAACAGTAGCAGTGCTAACAGTTAGCCATTCATTTCTCCATCTTCTTTATATCTTAAAACTATACACTGTTAAAATAAACATGGCTTCAAATAATTGCTCATGTAGAAATTGCTACAAATTTCCCGCTGTACAGTGGTTTGACGCTTTTGGAGACATTTTTGCAGAAGTCTACGTTTGCAGAGAATTTCGCTGTTGTTGTTGCAGTTATGTTAAGTTAGCCTGGGAAATATACTCCACAGGCTTTGTTAAATTAACTCTATTGACAATCGATGGGCAAATTATTTGATGTGAGGGTTAGCGCAGCCAACCATGTTTCTGCATATTAACTTAATTGAAAAACAGGCGATCTTATTTTTCTGATTTTTTAAGAAAGGTGCCCATAAGTTGAGGTTAAGAGGCAAAATATAAAAAAAATTTTGTTTTTAAATAATTTTTCTTAATAATAAAATTATTTTACTTTACATTGTGAGTTCTTATGAACACCACTTATGCTGGCCTGCAAATGTAAGCATAACTGTTAAACTCTACATAAATAATGCAGGGGAATGTTATGTTAAGCTTTACATAGCAACTTGAAGCCCAGGTTTTTAATGTTAACCCAGTTAATATCTAGCGTAGTTAACAAAAAGGAAGGGCTCATGATGTAGAGTTAGGTTGCGTAGACATTTAGACTAAGGATAACATCATGTGATGTTGACAGATACTGTTAATATTTCCTTCAATTTGAATTAGTCTTGCAAGGGGTTACTGCTAACAGCGACTGTTAATGTAAAGTAAACAGATTTTGTTAATGTAATGAGCAAGTAACAGCCTCTGATTGTCATAAATTAATTTACCGGCTGTGTTTTTGAAAGGGGAAATACTCAGAACAAAAAATGCTAATACCAAAATTTAAATTTTATATTTATTTATTTAATATTTATAGCATAAGGTGCATAGCTCGATGAAAACTAATATATATATTACTGAAAAAATTTAATATAATTTTTTAATCGCTTTAAAAATACATATTGAAGGACTTTGGGTAAAAAAATAATTAGATATTTGAAATCTGGATCGCTTATTGAAAATGTAGCAAGACAGTTCATCTGCATACATTCTGCCTACTTCGTCGATCGTCTGTAGCGTGATACCTGTTAGGTTAACGACGGCTACAAAATCTACACTAAATTACAGTTGTTGCCCCTACAAACAATACAGAATCTCTACATGAACACTCAGTGCCCAACATATGTGCACTATGCTGGGAATTCTACCATCCACTCAAAGAAATTCCGCACATTAAATGAATGCATGGCCAACAAACCTACAAATGCACATTGAACCAACCGGCTGTGAGTCTCCCATGTCTCTTGTTTACTCATCGGCTTCAACAGCTGCTCGCGAGCGTCGTGAGCACGTATGCTACCATCAAGTTTGTTAGTTGACTCTTCACAAAAGGCGGAGTTTCCATTGGCTCTGGTATAAATAGCCGCACTCAGAGCGTGAAAGGTACATTTCGTGTTTGTTACTCAAAACATCCGTTACTATTTCGAAAGCAAAGACGAAAAAAAAACAATTTTTGAACTCTGACCAAAAAAAAAAATCGTCAAGTCCAAGAAAATAAATCTCAGCGCCACTTAGAAAATCAATAGCAAAAAAAAAAAAAATCCGATTGTATTTGTGTACGCGCCACGTCTGAACGGATTACGGGCGTTTAAGCTAAACAAAGCAAAAACGTACGCGTTACCAAAAAAAAAAAAAAACAATAGGATTAATTAAAATAACAAAATAAATAAACAGCAAAAATTAAGTGATTTTGCAGTGATTTTTGAAAAGCTGATAATTCAGTGCCAAAAGAAATCAAGAAATCAGACAAAGCAAATAAAAATTGGCAAAAGTGAACTGAAAGTGTACAGTTAACACTGTAAGACACAAAATAAAAATTAGAAAAATATAAATAAATAAAAAATACCACAATTGTGTGCACGCTTTGTGAATACCACGCATCAGCGCATTATAACAATTAACTGACAACAACTCGCAAATTTCTTAATTTAAATTAAGAAATTTCTCCAAATTCAACACTTTTTTTCACCTCCACACCTCGCACACGGCCGCCAACGACGACCGTCGCCAAAAACAGCCGCCAAAATTCTACTCAAAGAACGTAAAGCAGTCATTTCTAAAATGAAATCACTCACCGCCGTCTGTCAAACAGGTGCCTCCATGCCGCCTATGAATCCGAACGGCCGCATTGCGCGCCATACGCCCCAACGTGGCGACGGCGAAAATGCCGAGATGAAAATGTACCTCTCCAAATTGAAAGATCTCGTACCGTTTATGCCGAAAAATCGCAAACTATCCAAATTGGAAATCATTCAGCATGTTATCGATTACATATGCGATTTGCAGACCGAACTTGAGGCACATCCCGAGATTGCTAATTTCGATGCGGCCACCGCTTTGAATATGGCCGCCGCTGCTACTGATGATTCTGCATATAATACCAGTGAGGAGAATGTACGTTTGGCTGAACGTCTTGCGGCTGACAGTAGTTTCAGTGCATCGCTACAACAACAACAACAGCAGCAGCAGCAAGCGAATGGCGCACAAACCTCCACCACCTCTGCCACATCTAGTCCTGCATTGCGTCAGCCTTTGGCTGATCGCCAAGCGCCAAATACCATCCTGCCCGGCACAAATACAGCAGCTGCTGCACATACGACAATGGCGTTGCATATGCAACAACAATTGCAGCTGCAGCAGCAACAATGGGAACAGCAACAGATGTTGTTGCAACAACAACAACAACAACAGCAGCAACCACAGCAGCAGCAGCAAGCGCAACAACAGCAGCAAACACAGCCACAGCAACAACAACAACACCAGCAAATGCCAACCGGCGAAACGGTGAGTTGTTGATCTGGCGAAGTTGTAGTTGTAAGAGTTAAGACGATAGACGGTTTAGAAGCAGAAACGGAAGAAGTCTAATTTTAAGTTTAGTCCTTAGGTTGTATAGCATTTTATTTTTAATAATGCTTTTGAGTTCAAAGGGGAACATCTTTTTTTTTTTCTTTTAATTTTTGAAAAAAATTTAAGAAATTATTAATTTTCTAAATACTTCAATTACACAGTTGTCTCCTATAGTTATTTTAAGCTTAAATCCAATCCTGAATGTAAAAGCATAAAAATGTATATATCTAAATATGAATTTTGAAAAAGAATACATAAGAAAGTGGCTGAAAACGCTATTTAACGTATGATTTGTGTAAAAAAAAAGATATTTTGTTGTTAAAGACTGTTATAGATATTTAAGTTGGTCGAATAAAATGAAGAAAATATTGACTAATAATTATGAAAAACAAAAACACACATTTTTTCTTTAAAATTATTTTGGAAAATACAATTTCAGTCGTGCAGAAGAGCATAGCGCAGCGGAGGTAAAGTAAAAAATCGAATTTATTGATGGACAAAATTTTTGAAAATTCAGTTTCGAAGGCGTAGAAAAAGGTCAAAAATGAATGAATACTTCTTATATGCGAAGAAAGAAGCGAGAAATGAAAAGCTTACTTTTAAATATCAAAAATGTGTATTAAAAACGACAAATCACACACATAGATTTTTTGAAACGCTCGTGTTGTGCTTTATAGCGATAAATTATTAAAGCAGGTGGTACGCAAAGGAGCACATACATATTTCATGGTGACAAATTTTTTTTTATGAAATGTTCTATTAAAAGTGAGTGGAATAATTTATGCATAGAATTCTTTCGAATAACTTAGCAGTCGAATATTTTTTTTTTTTTTGATTACTTCAAATTTGGTTGTAGAATAACAAAAAATGCGTAGATTAGACTTGATTTGATTTTTAGTTTTAATTTTTATTTTTTGTTGCATTTGAGTTATATATTATTTTAGTTTTCGATTTTTAAATGAATAAAATTCCAAATAAACTGTTGCAAATAATTTTTTGAAAATCTCATAATTTTTAGTTTATGTTATTTTTGTTTATATTATATAATTATTAAAAAAATAGTAATATATTAAATTTTGTTTAACATGCATATTCAGTCAATAAATGTGTCTTCCTAAGTTGTAAAAAACATAATAATTTTAGTTCTTCAAGCTTTAAAACTACACAGTTCCTTTATAAAGGTTTAATAATTTTTATTATTTATTGTTTAAGTGTACATAAACTGCAAAATAAAGTATAAATATATCTTCGTGGTGAACATGAAAATAGTTTAAAAATCCTACTTTTATTTTCGACTATTAAAGTTTATTAAGTTTTATAATTTGAATTTTCAATAAAAATTCTTTAGATTACTAAAATTTTATATATTTATATATATTTTTTATGAATATAAATTTTTTTTTCATATAATTTTCTTTGCTTTTGTATTACATATTAAATTTTTTTTAATTTAAAATTTTAAAAAGAATCCTATGAAATATTAAAATGTATTATGTGTTTATTTTAATAATTTCAAATATATTTTCTAATCAAAATTAATAACTTTGTATTACATAATAAGTTTTTAATTTTATTTTAATTCAAAATTTGTATAAAAGTATATATAAAAATATAAATTATTAAAATTCATATAAATATAATTATAAATATTTTTGTGTCAATATAAATATTTACAGAGGTACTTGAAATTATCAAAATTCTTTATGTATATAATTTTTATTTTTATTTTATTGTCAAAATTATTTACTTTTTATTACATAATAATTTTGAAATTTTTTTTAACTTAAATTTTAAATTTGTATAAAAGTGTAAAACAAGTATAAGTTATTAAAATCAAATAGTTCTACATATATTTTTTTTATTATTATTATGTTTTTGCGTTTGTGTAACATTGTATATATTTTTTTTAATTATTTCGAACTTAAATTTTATATAAATATTTGATTGATTATTTAAATTTATTATATTGTATTATGTTATTATATTTACCTTTTTTAATAATATAAAATATTTTTTAATAAATTATTATTTATTTTGTGTTTGTATAAAATAATTATAATTTTTTTTATATATTTTGAACTAAAATTTTTGTAAAAGTTTTATAAATTATTAAAATTTATTTTGTTTTAATATTTTTTATACTTTTTTTATTATTATTATTTAATTTGAATTTGTATTACGGTCATTTATTACCAAGATAATTTTTTAAATTTTTTATTTGTATTTGTATTACGGTAACTTACTACCCAGCTTACTTTTAAAAACAAATTTAAATACTAAAAATTCATACAGCCCATACTTTTTATTTTATAAACTAAATAAAAGCTGGAATCAAATCAAGCTAAAAAAAATTACTTAAAAGTTATTACTAAAAATGCGCAAAAAAAATAGTTTTATGTTATTTGACAAAAAATTCTGTATGCACATAATTATTTTAATTATTTTTATTTTTTTTTTTTTTCAATACGAACTCATTATTTTCACTTTTATAAGAAAATTTATTTATTAATAGACCTTGAAGCTCACTAGAAATTAACTTAAAAAAAATTAAAGTACAGTTATCTTTTTATTTTTATTTTTTTTTTTACATTATAAAAACACCTACGCAATATTAGCAGCTCGTAAAAAAATTTTAATTACTCTTATATTAAATTAGGAAAAATTATAGCATGCATATATACAATACATATGTATATACATATATGCATGTAACATTTGTCAAAAATCTTTCACTAGTTTAGATTATAACTTCTTTGTTTTTGTAATTTAGTTATGGCTATATAATTAATTTTAATTTAGCTTGTATGTATGTTATTTAAAATTAAAATTAAAATTAATTATGTATATGTATTTATGTACGTGTATGCAATAAAATAGTAGTACTAAAAATGATTTAATTTTAAAATAGAAATTGCTTTAATTTTGTGATATTAAAACAGTTTTGTAAATAAATGAATTTATGCAAAATGGTTCCAATAAGAAAAAATAACTAAATTTTGTTTTAATTTAAATTTTATGTTGACGATAGAAAGTGGAAAAATCACATGGAAATTAAGCTTTTATTTTTTTTTTAAGTAATTACGTAATTCATTTCCGAAGCTCAACTCAGGCAATAGAAATTTGCAGATCAATTTTTCAACTGGAGAATAACACAGGCAAGCGAAAAAGTAGATTTTTATGCCGCTAAAATAAGGTTCTTTGGGAATTACTTCAAAATATGTAAATATATACTTATCGCGTACTTAAAGACAGGCAGCTTTTGAATTATTGGAAGGTAAGTTGCTAAAAACTATTCGCATAAGTACAAATATATGTATATACTATGAGTTATATGCATAATTTGGATATATACGTATGCATATATGTATGTACAATGAAATCAAGTCAACCAAAGATTTATTATTTAATCATAGCAAGAAGCAGCTGTTACGTCGCTGAACATGACCAAACAGGTAGTAACGGTCAAGAGATGTTCTTGAAAACCATAAAAAAATAAAAAGAATTGAAAAAATTAAATAATAATAATTGAATCATGACACGTCTATCTAGTACTCTTTAGCTATAAACAAGTTTTTATCATCATCAGATATCAGCTTCCAAAAGTATATACTCATACCTAAGCACATGCATACAGATGAGTACATTTGTGTATATATTTTTATGGGCTGATGAACTACTCAACGATTTTCGACTTTATTCCGTGGAAACACTGCAGATTTATATCAAATACATGTGCATGGCTTAAGCTTCGGCCAAAAATTAATCACAACACTTTTGCGAAATAAAAATCCAAACTACAAGTGACTGATATAAAACCAAAAAAAAAAAAATCGTCTAACCCGATAACTCACTCAAGCTTCTTGCTCCTCTAGGCATGTATGTAAGTATATCTGAGCACAATGAAATATATAACAGACAACAATAAAACTAGTTATTGACAACTAGCAGAAAAAAAGGAGCAAGCGCCATCAGGTGAATTCTCTTCTTCTTTTCTTTTTTTTATCTACACTTTTTGTTGGAATATTTAGTGGATATTGATGAGCGAATAGAAGACGCAAACAAAAAATGTGACCAAACCACACTGAAGAGCAATAAAAATTTGTATATGCATACACATATGTACATACACATGCACATATGTATATAAATTAAGCGAACAAGTTCAGTCACATGAAAGCAAGGGCGCCCATTAATCCGCATAAATACTCAGGTGTACATGGATAAATATATACAGTTATGCTTACATATGTACATATATGTATATATATTTCAAATTACTTGTTTTGAAAAAGAGGTGGGTTGACTAGCTGAAATTTTTTCAAAAATAATCATTTCGTGTTTTGGCTCAAGAACATACTTTCATATACAATATATATACACCTGAATTTTGTATTATGATAATTAATTAAAATTTTTTCATAGTGAATTTTGGGGAAAACCCGCTCCTTGGAATTCGAACTGGAGTAGCAGTTTAGTCATGGAAGACTAGAAAAAATTTAATAGCCCGACAAGTGTAATAAACGATAAAATAGAAATTAATACAAGCACACCTACATAATCATATTATATGTATGCTTGTATGTAGATGCGTGTTTTTAAATAAACTAAAAAAAAAAAAAAATTTATATGCCAGCGGAAAAAAGTGATTTGCATTGCAAATGAATTTCGCATTGACGCAGATGACAAATTATAATAAAATACACATTTCCACACACTTGCATGCGCACACACACACATACGGTACATACTGATGAAACAAATCAAATAAAAAATACCAAATTAAACAGTCGTGTGAAAGAAGACAAGTCATAAAATTTTGGGTCGTTATTAAAAAATAATAAAATAAAAAATAAAAATTTTAAAAAAATATAATATATAATAATAAATTACAATAAAAATAAAATAGCGGTAGCCGAATGGTTAGCGTTGCGTACTGCCATTCGGAAGGCTCGGGTTCATATTCCGGCGCCACAAACATCCAAAAGTTATAGAAAATTTATTTAATAAAAAAAATAAGTTACATTTTCTTATTGTAGTCACCCCTCGGCAGGAAATGTCCACTCCTCCGAGTGTTTTTCTGAGGAGCAGCTCGGCCGAAAAATCGTTTCAACGGTTACAAAACGAAAATTATATATAAACAAAATAAAATAAAATAAAATAAAACAAAATAAAATAAAATAAAATAAAATAAAATAAAATAAAATAAAATAAAATAAAATAAAATAAAATAAAATAAAATAAAATAAAATAAAATAAAATAATATCAAATAAAATAAAATAAAAAAACGAAATAAAGGAATTAAATTAATTAAAATAAAAGTAATTAAATGAAATTAAAATAAAATAAAACTAAATAAGAAAAAACTGAAATAAATTGAGATAAAATTAAAAATAT